CCAAAATACCTGCGAGTGCGTCACGTTCGAAAATGATATAATCACGGCCTGCGCGCTCAAGGTAAAATCCCAACTGAAGCCCTGAAATAAAAAATTCAGCTAATTCAATACCAACAAGTGCACACATATTTACAAAACACATCGAAACTGCCAAGAGATATTGCTCGTTTCAACTCGAAAAAAGGGCAAGAACTTAAATTTAAAGATGATTTAGAAATCACTCACCTCCCGGGCCAGCTCCGACAACACAGTATTCATGATGAACGGCATTTCCAGTTGATTTCACACACGATAGAGTGGAAACAATAATGAAGAGCAGACTGGTTAACCGGTTCATCACACGATTGAAAGTCGTTTGTAAAAGCGATTAGCGAAAGGATGGAACTAAATTGGTGAGATTTCAGTGACTTGTTAACTCTCAGTAGGCATAGAATCCCATGTCAAAACAGGAAATCGATGGTAAATATCGTGTTTTTAACATTCTCCGCTGGATCGTTATTGGCTGCCGCAACAACAAAGAAACGATAATAAGTATTGTCTTTTACGTCATTTAACTGTATTTTTCAATGGCGATACATGCATCAAATAAATTAATCAATTCGTACGATTGTTTATCGGAGCGAAAAATAGTCAGAATGACCGAGTTGCTTGCTATTCTAGAAGAAACTCGTTTGACTTCATGCGTCATTTTTGATCGCCATGCAAAACAGAGTGAAAAAATGGTTAAAATTTCTAAGCGCGTATTAGTAAATAATTAACGAGGTGATTTGAGATTAAGGTAAAATGCCAAAAATAATTCTGAGGATATAAATTCTTTTGACCAAATGCTGTTGGAAATTGTAGGTTTTTTTTATCTTACCGAACGGTAGGCGCTTATCTTGTACCTTCAGCCGCAACTTTTGAAAATTATTTCGTGTTCGTCTTTATTTAGTTTATTTACTTGACAATCCGGTGGGATTTCTCCTGGTCCCTTTTTTGGCTAAAGTTTAATATTAAAGGCGTGTAATCAATATTGAATGAATGACGAAGTCACTGTGAAATTGAGCTCCGTGTAAACTTCACATATGCTTCTTTTGTCGAAAAGCAGAAATATATATTTTTAATTACAGCCCACTCTTTTCATAACATTTTTTTTTTTTCAGAAATTAACCGAAAGTTTGCAAAAAGAAAAAATCGAAATGGGAACAGCGAGTGGTTTTCACGATTTCTAAGCAACATTTTCCCAGAAGAAGTATCTAATCGATCCTATCATGTCTCACGGAAACAATTAAAAGCATCGAGTCGTCGATTATTTTTTCTGAAAAATTTGAATACTAAAAGAGCGAAATATGAACCAAGCTCATAAGACAACTCGATCTGAAAACCGAGAATTGTCCAAAAACGCAAAGTAGAGATATGTAACTTAGAGATTTTGAGTAGTGAACCAAATTATCTCTAACTGATTGATATGGTTTAGGATACTGCGCCTTTTTATTGGAAGAATTTTGAAACATTGTGACTTCTTATGCGCAGACACGTTGGAAAAAAGGCTGTCTGTAGCTAAATAATAAAAAAAAAAAGTCGAAGAAAAAGAAATCTTCATGGCTCTCCTAGCGGCTTCCAGAAGTGTGAATATCAATCGCCGTTACGGGAGTTATCAATAACCATGAGTATCATCGGCTGTGTTTGACGACAAAAAGAACAGTGAGGTATGCATCTCAACTCATTGTACTGTGAAATCGTTGTAACAAACACTGATGCGGAGTTCATTGATGAAACCGAGGTTCGAAGGTCGAAGGCTGACCGACGGAATCTCCTTTCGGGTGCCCTCTCACAAGAGCTTAAAAACAATTAGAACAACAAAATCGTAATTTTAAAAAAATCTCCGAAATATTTGCGGCCGATTATGGTAAAGTCAGTTCTGGGAATACGTGATAAGAGATTTTGTAAGAGAGTTTAAACATGGTTTTGTGTGGGATGTCGTTAGTAAAGATGTCCTTGGCCGCTCAAGAACATATGAACCCAAACCCATGTCTGCTAAGATATCTGCTAAGGGTTTTCACATAGAACTTTTTGACATGATCGCCTTCAATTAAAGCTTTCCTTTTTTCTTACACGGAGAATAGCGGAAATTACTGTGTCAGCTTTGACACGGGATACGCGGAAATACAAGAGAGCAAAATGAAACACGAGGATAAGATAACTTCTCAAAGATCTAAAACAGGATGAAGATGAGAGATTAGGGGACTTCCTGTTATCGAGATGTCCTCTCCGATGCATTGCAGAAAACGAGGGCGGGGGAGTTTTCAACCAAAGAGACATCAGTCATCGCTATTGTATTGCTATTGTCCATAGTGAGATGACAACAATATGTGAAACTGAAAGCCTGCGGCATCATTTTATTCTGTTTTTAAATACACAATGTTTTGTTTTCTCGTTTTTCTTCATATTCATACTTCGACTATCTGTCCAATAATTATTATTCAACACAGTATCGTCTAAGACATAATTTTTTGTAGTCTCATTGCCCGAGTGACGAAAGAGCTCCGTTGAAATTTCTCATTAAATATCAGTCAGGGGCGTGACACAATTTGAGCAAGCTGGACGGTGTGACACCTGACGTGACACCACGTGTGACAGCTGGTAGCTTTAACCAAAGTTACCTGTAATTTCCTCTTCCCAAATTTGAGTTATGGATGCAAGTGTTATAAGCCTCTTTTTGCCCCTCAAGCTCCATCAAAATAAACTCCTGACATGTTGTTTCTCTTTAAATTCGGTGAAAAATAACATTTTTACAAGAACCAGCTTTTCATCTTCAGGTGCATAAAATAGTGGCTTCTCCAGAAAGGGAAATTGGACTTAAACTGTCTACCTTCCAGCCTGCATTGCTACAACAAAACTTGAAAAGCACAACATCGCGCCTATATATTAGAAAAAAATCACCCCAAACTTTTATTTCCAAAATCTAGATACGAATTCTCCTTTTTGTCTGCTATTCATAGCTCATAATTTTGGTTCTGAGAAATTGATAGTAAAACTTAAGTAAACAAGATTCCATGGTTGATATTTTATACTGGTCGCCCGTAGGTTGTGAAAGGGCTTATGCCATGTCCACCGAGACAATTTTTCACATATTTGTGGTTAATGAAGCACTCGATCAAGTTCTTCCTCCAAGAAACAAATCGTTATCATTAGAAGACACCTTCAGTTCCCTGTAGTCTTGAGATCCTTTCTCGAAGGGTTTTCTTTTCACTGAACACAGCCGTCTTTTTCTCCAGATTCTCTTTCATCTTTAAACCCTCGCTGGCAATCATTTTTATTTGAGCATCATTTTCTTCTGATAGCTGTCGCCTAACATCAGATATTTTCTAATAAATTCTGCAGAACTTCATTCAGTTTTGTTCCACTCTCTTGTCACAATAGTCTAAAATTTCTAAAAGGAGATATGTAGCAACGTGAGAATCACACAAAAAAGCATGAAATCACGAAATTATGCATTATTATATGTCAGTAGTAAATCACTACGCAAAGAGAAAGCAAAGTAATTATTGAACGTACTTTGAATGATCTGCTTGTAAGCGTTAGCAGCTGGTGATTCTGGTACTTCGGATAGAAATGATTTTCCTTCGTCACAACAGCGACCAATCCTGGGATCCAGCGGTACTTTGCCAAGAAAGGGTACTTCCATATCAGCCGCCATTTTCTGTGCCCCTCCTGTGGTAGGTGGAAAGATCTGCGACTCTTTCTGCATCAAAGACGAAAACAAAGCATTTCAAATACGACGAACTCTTAGTGTCTCAAGTCTACCAGATTTGCCTCTCAAAACAAGCATGACAGCAACTTCAGATGAACCCGCAAGTTTCCTACTACATTTTGGCCTTTCCAATCAGATCACTGATACACACACATATTTGTGGTCCTTTTTTCCTCATTGTGAGGTCTACAGAAAGAAATCAATCTTCTAGACTTGATTGTCATGAAAACTAAGATTCCAATTGTCATTTATGAATTTTCTTTTTCAGCGTTTCCTCTATTGGTTCCTTTTCAACTGACTAACCCTTTGACTTGCAAGATGTTTTAAAATTAATTCTCATTTATATTTGGAAGGGGCAGCTTTCCCAAATTTGCTGCAGTAAGTCACTGCATGGTATCAAACTACAAGATAAGATTATCAATTGTTAACTGTGTAAAAAAATTTTACACACAAATACCTTGCAATTGGGACAAATAAATCCACTCATATTTTCCACCACTCCAATCACAGGCATTTTCACTTTTTTACAAAAATTAATTTCCTTACGTACATCAAGCAATGAGACTTCCTGAAAAAGAAAGATATTAGAAGATAAACTACACCCAGGAAGTCCATTGCCTTTACTACAATGTCACCATCTGACAACTATCGAGAGGCACAATCAGAAATACATTAAATTGTACTTTCTTTTCACTGATCTATAACTGGAGTGTCAAGTTTGAAATAATTCACTTTTACAGTTGAGTCATTATACTTAACAACTTGGTTAAAATGTTGACGAAAGCCACCTTACAAAATTATTGAGTAATTGATTAAGTTGTCTTCAAAATTATTCCAGTGTCAAGAAACGTTAACTGATTTCATCTCTCACCTGAGGAGTGGTTATGATAATAGCTCCATCAACATGTGTGTTACTCAAATACTGGACAATTGACAGGTGCTCATCAGAGGTGCCAGGAGGGGTGTCCACCACTAGGAAGTCTACATCACCCCAGTCAACATCGCGTAAAAACTGTTTGATCAAACCTGTAAACCAAAAACCAGTCATGATACTAGATTAGATGAATGTTCAGGTAGACAGGCAAGACACACTGAAACCTTTGCTCATCTATGGTGAAGATTAACCCTTGACATCCTAACATCAGTATGTATAATCTCCTTATTGTTATCTGCACATTTCTAAAGGTGCTGACAAGGAGAATTTGTTTAACAATCAAGAGCTTCTTTATTTGGTGATCATTTCCTTTATTCTCATGGTCTTAAATGAAGGATTCAGCAGTATTATTGTAAGGAGAAACTAGATACTGGTCACACTTAGGGTTTAAAGGGTTTATGATGATATGTACCTATTTTGAAGACTGAATGGGAGGGACAGACTGGAAGTTTCCCCATCTGGTTCCACACAACTCAGTTGATAATCATTTCATTAGAGATGGTAGTCAATTTTTTTTCTTCTTCCTTAACTACTGCCCTCAGATTAGAGGATGTTTGCAAATCCAGAAATGCCCCAATTTCCCGAAATCAAGGCATTACCCTTTCCTTGATGCCTGGGGAAAGAGGGATTCACAAAACTATAACATTTTCTTAGTCTACTCTGGCAATTGGATTGATAAACACATTGTGAGTGGCTGTTTTCTTGCCCAAAGGCCACTGTGAAAGGACACATTCTTACCATTTTTCTTGGGTCCCCTCCAAATAACTGCATCAGTGGGGCTGCTTAGCAAGAACCCCACAGACATAACACCAAGATTGTCCTCTACATACTGAATAGAACAGAACCAACCTGTTAACTCCTTAACTTCCATGATCTGATTGCTAATTCTCCTCTCTAGCTAATACACATTTCCTTGTAAATCAGTTACATGAATTATGTGTTGGATCAAGGTAAAAAATTCTACCAGATCAGCTTGAGTATACTCATTAGCTGTTTACTAGATAATGTACCATATAATGATGTTGTAGAGAGAAGTTACAAATCTCTCACCTCTAGAAGTAAAAGGGCTAAAATGTTTTGATTATGAAAAATAATTGACTCTCTCTCTTTTCTCTCTGTTGTAAAAGGGGTAAGGGGTTGTGAGAAAAGAAAAATGATCACTCCATTGCATCAACAAGACAAATCATAAATTTAATATATTTAAGCTCAATAAAGAAAATGACACTACTATGAAAGCCACATACCACAGGTGACCATCCTGAACCACTTTGGTGAACCTGTGAACAAAACACATTGGTTAATTAGCTGGAAAGTAATGTTACTGTCTTTTCTTAAATATTACAATAGAAAGCAAATTGCATTAAAAGAAGAAGATTAAGGTGAACTAAATAATGCATTCTGTTTATCAGATATTTTCTCAGAATTGTTAAGTATGTCTGAGGTGTGTGTAGCCTTCACCAAGAGGAATTGTAATCCCCCCCTTGTCAAGCCAGTTGGCGCTTTTGGGGAAAACAATGAAAATATGTTTAAATACATTTAAAATATAAAATGAAAAATAAAAACAACCAACCCATCTTTACCTGTTCACCCTCAAGACCCATCACTTTGGGTATAGAAGGGCCACAGATATCAACATCCAACACTGCAATCTGAAATTCATAGAAAATATGAATTCATAGAAAACATTGTTAATGTTGTTTTGTTTTTAGTGTTGTTTTTCCTGTAAAAAAATCCTGAAGGGGTTGATCTACGAGAGAATATTGATGAGAATGAACACTGCCCTGAACAAATTTTCTCTATCACTTCCTCTAAATGTTCCAAACTCTGTAAGCTTCAAACCATGCAGATTTCTATCAGGCGCATCATTAAGAAGAAGTGGTACATCCATGGCTGTTTGTTTTCTTCCCACCACCCTTTAAATCTTATGGATTTCTCCCTGTAGAATTATGTAGAAGTAAAGTTTTTGTCACGAGAAACAGTTTAATTTCACCTTAGGGGAAATATGAAAAAATTATGCATTCAACTGTACTTCTCTGAAACAAATCAAGACCTGAAAAAAATTCAAGCTTGAATGGGATTCAAATCATAAATTAAACTAGTGTGGCAAAACAAATACCATTGCAGCACTCTCAATGAAAAATTGGGCACTGTGCTTCTATAATCAACTTTCATAAGTCATAATTACAGTACTTGACTGCCATGATCTTTCCTCTACTACAAAGAATTGTACCTGTTTGCTTTCATCAGCAGCCAGACCATGAGCCAGGTGGGCTGTAAAGGTACTTTTCCCAACTCCACCTTTACCAGATAGCACCAAGATCTTGTGCTTGACAGTTGTCATTCTTTCCTTTACTTCCTCCACAGCTAAAGCAAGGATATAATTTCTTTATTTAGTGAATTGAAAATCATTAAAAGGAGGTTTTATGCCTACAGCAATTTGTTAAAAGTTGTCTATCATTACTGCTTTTCATGACAAGAACATTTATAAAGGGTGCAGTATTCTTGTGGCAAATTCAAATTGCCCCTCCTGAATCAGGAAAGTTATCATTCATAAAAATATATCATTCTCTTTGGTTCCTATACATTCCAATAAGATGTGCTTATGAACTGTCTCCTTCAACAACAACTAGATAGGGGACTACCTAATTTTAAGTAGGGATTGTCAAAATAATCCTTTGTTGAAAGGCCCTTCACAGAAGTAGCTCATTCTCTAACAGGATACAATTTACAATACAAAACACGTATAGCAAAATGTTACATTAGATTAGAATAACAATTCTGATTCCTTGATAGCAAATACAAAGATACCTAAAGGATATCACTTTGAACATAGTGGGGAGTGAAAATTGGAAAATGAAGGGCTTATCTGAGGTACGTCAGGTCAGTAAGATTCATTGAGGCTCTGTGTGTGTTTGGCCGACGTTATGTACCCAGGGAATTCTTTCCCATAAAGAAACACAGAGGCAACCCATGACGACGTTTGTCTACGGGGAATGACGGTGCATATTTTTATTTTTCGTCTCGTCTCTTATTGGTATCGCAGTGAGGTTTTGAAGGAATAAGAGAACTTTTTTCATTAAGTCATGACGATCCGTCGGGGGAAATTTTCTGTCCCATTGGGCGTAAGAAAAGTAATGTAAAGGTCAACCTCGATCTGTGGGAAACACAACATATGCATAATGACAATGCACAATTTTCAGTTTTTCATTTCTCCACTTGAAATGGGGAAGAAGGAAATTTTCATTACAGCAATATGTAATATGAGTTTTATGTTGCTGCGAAATGCAATTAGATTACCTGGATCTGGTCCCAAAGGTTTAGAGGAGGAACAAATATTCTGGTTTGGACATCCTTGACAAGCAGTCCCCTTCCCCGCCTGCTCACTACCCGTTCCTGGGCAGTCTGTTAAGATAGAGGAAAAATAAATTAATTCAGATAAAAAAAATCTCAATGATCAATTTTTCAGATCGCGCAGAGAAAATGGAAAAATACACAAAATCTTACGTTCAGGAGCATTCTCCGGAACGTCCGCCATATTGTATGTCCCAGCGAGCCTGCGATTAAAAGGTACATCAGGCGCATGCTCTTCTAACAGCAAAGAAACATGGCGGAAGAAGGCTCGGGTAATTTTTTGTTAAGCATTCCGCCTTATTTAAATGAAATTAATGGCTTGAATTTAATTTTTATCTATTTGAATTATCGGCTTATTAAAAAAGTAGCATTTTATTTTAGCGGTGGATGCAGAGGATAAGTTGGAGACAGAACCGGACCCTTGTCGGTCCAAATGTTGTCCTGAAACTTTTGTCGAAAAAGAAACTGAAAATACGAATGAAAAGTCCAAGGAGGATTTTAGCGTCGAGGAGAAAGAAAAAGACACGACAGAAGAAGAGCACGCTTCGTCCAGTAGGGAAACTGCGAGTTTTCGTGTTGTTTGGAACAAGAAAAACTATGAGGTCACTTTTCCTGTGGATGAAACAGTTGATAGTCTCAAACAACACATAGAGAAGCTCACAGGTTTGGAAAGGAAACGATTGATCAGTTTTGCTCTAAAGAGTTGTGAATCTGCACACGATAACAAGTGTAAATATAGAATCAGGCAACTCTCAGTCCTTGCCATGCACTTTACAGTTTGGTTAGTCATGTCAAGTCACCCAGGTCAAGACTAAATAATAAAAATACTGAACCGCTTGACAAAAATTATTACTTGAAAGACACGATTTAAAAACACATCCCAAAATAAGTTTTAATGGTATGTGCTATGATTCCTACCCCTGTGTCCAGAAGTCAGCATATTTTTTAAAAAATAGCTTGCTGGAGATAAATATTTACCCTCTCAGAAGAATAAAACTTTGGGGTCAAGGAGCACATACCACATTCTTGTTCATGTTTCTTAAGGAGGAGGGCTCAAAGCCCTAAATCTGGTTCCATCTCCTCACGCAGGGAAAAAGCCACAATTGTGAGGAGGCAGTTAGTTTCTAAAGAGACCAATTTGTTGCACTGGTGAGCTAGTGAAACAATTAGTTGGTGTCCAAAGAGGGGCAAATGATTAAAACCTTCAATGCACAGGGCAGTTTTTCTACCTCTCTCAACTATTACCTATATCCAAAGAAGAGCTTGAAGGAGCTAATCTTACCAATAGATAGGGATGCTAGTTGTTAGTATGGAAATCCAAAATTCAATCTCTCTACCTTCTGTTTCTTTTCAGCAGACCCATTGGTAGTTTGTTGTTTGGCTGTGTTATATGGTTGAGGTTTAACTTTATGAATCAATGTGTTTTTGTGTCTCTCAATCACAGGTTTACCAGTTTCAATGCAAAAGCTGATGTACAAAGGTAATGGAGATCAAAAAAAAGTGTCTTGATTGGTATATGAGTTTCTAATTCTCTTCTACAGTTACCAACCTATCTCTTATAAATTAGTAAGGAGAAATTTGTTTTGTGTCAAGATGACACCCTTTAGCTGTTATTTTTCTCTGTTTTCGTCACCCAAGTTTAGGATAATCTCGTTAACTGGTTAATAAAACACATGCCAATGATTCCTGAGAGTTAATAAGTCAACCAAGTACACCCTAACTTCAGAATGCATATTCTCTACACTTCTCTCCAAACATTTCTAAAGGTGCTAACAAGGAGAATTTGATTGACAAAAATCCAGATACAGACAAAAATTATTCCCTACCAAGATTAAAATTATATTTTATTTGTTTTTTCACCTTCAGGGCTAGTTAAGGATGGAGGCAAAACATTACGAGAACTTAATGTTTCTAATGGAGTGAAGATGATGGTTGTTGGCTCAACCATTAATGATGTCATGAAAGTGACACCCCCTCCTCCAGGAGCATTAAAAGATGACAAATCAGGCACCTCAGGTGGGGTGGGGTGACATGAGACATGTTTGCAATATTTGTCTATCCTCAAGACTTTTATATTTGAAAGTACATCTAAAAACAGACACAACAGATGCAAAAATGTTCTAAGATGATTTTACTTTTTTTTCCTAATAGGTTCTTCAAAGGAACCACTTAGTAAACAAAAGGTGAAAAACAGTAAAATATCATTGATTTCCTTTTAGTGGATGAAAAATTCCTATTCCATCTTTTCTTCATGAAATATTCAATCATTCCTCTGATTTGCTTTTTCAGGACTCAGAGGCACTAAGAAGTGATTTCATTTTTTTTTCAGATGCATAAAAAAGTTTTAGACAAAGGAAAACCAGATGATGTCATGCCTGGATTTAAAAATAAAAAAGTATGGTTTTTCCAAGGAATGATGTGTTGAACAATGGTTTGAGTTTGTTGGTAGGGTTATCATATTTCCTCAAATAAGCACCCTCCCACAAATAAGCCCCCACCCACTTCACTTTCTTAAATACCAGGGATACATGTTTAAGGAAACCTGTTTCTAGTGCCACTTTATTTACACCTTTTTAAGCTTCAACTACAGCGGCATCAGTACAGGTGGATAATAAGCTCCCCCCTTAATTCAGTGCCCTCCTTCCAATAAACAACCCCCTGTTTAGCAAAAATTTTGGAAAAGCACCCTGGCACTAAATCTTGGAAATATGGTGATTGGGTTTTTTGATTCTGGGCAAGGATTAGAGCCATCTTGTCTTAGAGCTAGAGGACAATATATGGTCAAATATAGTGAAAGAGCTCATTCAACTAATTTTCCTATTCAACTTGAAGCTTTGAAGGTTATGGTTATAAGATATGTACTTTACTCATAGGAAAAGTTACCCAATGTTCCAATTGCTGGGATGTATAACAAATATGGAGGAAAAGTTAGATTAACGTTCAAGCTTGAATTGGATCAAGTTTGGATCGGAACAAAGGGTACGTTACTTTTACATGTATTAGCTTTATGAATGTTGACAAGATATTCAAAAGCTCACAAACTGATTTTTTTATATTTTCACCATGAGATCAATATTAGAAATGTGGTATTTTAGTGATGTTTTTTGTCTCTCTTTCAGAACGAACAGAAAAGGTACCGATGGGATCAATAAAAAATGTAGTATCAGAACCAATCGAGGGTCATGACGAATATCACATGTTGGTAAGACATCTTCACGCGAGAAAATTACTTGATCGCTTACCTCACGCTGTGCAGTGAGGTAGCTCACTGAGAAATTTAATTTAATATGACCCATTACTGATATTTTCCCGCGTGTGCGCGCTCTCGCATGCGAATGCGATATATGAGAATTAAGGAAATGATCCCCTTCGTGAGCAGCCTTGATTGTTAAACAATTTCTCCTTGTTTGTTCTAAAGAAATGTACAGAGAAGAGTATCGGGAATATTGAAACTGATGCTAGGCTGTAAAGGGTTATTAATGGGGAACATGGCAGAAGATTTTGAGTTTCATGGTAAATGAGATCGCTCCCCTGAACGAACGACCAATCGACTCCAGTTAAGAGAACAACGTCCTTAGCGCCGCGGGGATTTTCCTAGCAAATAGTTTCAGTGTTGAGTTATTTGCGTTTTCGTTCTAGGCCATTCAGCTTGGACCAACGGAGGCATCTCGATACTGGATCTACTGGGTTCCTGCACAATACGTGGACGCCATTAAAGACACTATTCTCGGCAAATGGCAGCCATTCTAGACAGTTATAAACACAGTATCGCTACTGTGGTGTCAGCTTAAATACTGCATCATTCAAGGGTTCATTGTTCAACAGACTGGAGAGACGTTCAAAGCTGGCCCAAACATGATGTCGTTGGATTGAGTTGAAATACTTTTTTTGCAGCTCAAGATGGTATTAAACATTTCTGCGTACTTTTGCTGCTCTAACGACGGGAACCTATTGACTTCGATTCGATCTTCTTTTTGCGGTACCCGAGATGCTATTTTATTAATCTTTAACCTTAACCCTTTAACTCCCAAAAGTGATTAACATGTAACTTCTCACTATTATTTCAATGCATTATCCAATTAACGTTAAATTGTCGTAACCAATTTATCAGGAAATGTGTAGCAGAAAGAGGGGAGAATTAACAATCAGATCTTGGGAGTTAAAGGTGTTCTGGAATTGAGAGTGACTATATGATTTCTAATTCTTCTTTGAAGTAAATTCTCCATTTTTTCCCCCACCGTTTCGGGTATTGCCAAGCGTGATTGTGATGTGCCAAATGGATTACGAAGCGTTCACTGACATGAAGAAAATTGAATTACAGCGAAGGTCACTTTGATCTTTCTTTCCGATGACAGTTTAAAACTGTGAAGGGTTTGTACTGCTGAGGTAATTACCCTGGCTATTTTCAGCTTCTATTTCAGCCTTGGGAATCTGTGCTTGTTCCCCTCCTCCACTCCCACAAGTTTGTTCCATGTGATCAGTAACTCATTTTTCTTGAGGGAGGCTAGGACTGATGTTGGCAGAACGCCTCTGGTTGATAAGTGGTTATCCTGAAAATTGATACAAAAATCTGAAATTTTCCATCTTAGAAACCTTTATTTTAAATGTAGAGCAGCATCAGGAAGCCGAAATGAAGCCAAGATCAGTTCTTCGTTATTGTTTGCCGTGGTAATGTTTCCTTTTTAGCGCTGAGCTGAAGAGCTTCAAGAAAATTAGATTAAAGATCTATTTAAATTAAAATATTTTATCAGAAAAGGAGTCATATTCTTTGTTAAAACGTCTGTAACCTCGCCCCCAGGTAGTCTAATTAGCCATTCTCTGAAATTTCACAAAACGTTCCCATGCCTGACTTTCTAGGAATAGTTGCAAAGCTGATTAGCTCTTAAGTCTGTTCCAGGCTTTCAATTACTGGAACAAACCGCGGTAATAAACGATGCGATGGGGTTGGGACCCATCCCAAGCCCCTCTCGCTTTTTCACTTCGTTTTACTATGTAAACGCCTGGAACAAGCTAATAGCCCTTTGGGGTCTTCTTTCAACAAGAAGTACACCTAAGACACCACATTATTTCTATCTCAGTATAACGAAAAATTTCGCGCATATATCGTTTTGAGATTCCAGCGTGACATAGGCGTTCGAAAAATTCTCAAGGAATGTGCTAAAAAATAGTGCCTATATGTGATTTTCATATTTCTACAATCATTATCCATCACTTGGATGGTTTATTTGGACCCAACCTATTGACCAGCTCCCAGTTGGCTTGTTAGCTCCGTTGGTAGAGCGCTGCACCGGTATCGCAAAGGTCATGGGTTCAAATCCCGTACGAACCTGAATTTTTCTCAGGTCTTATTTCAACTACTAGCTCAGTAGTGTTCATAGCTGCGAGAATCTCTTGTATTCGAATGAAGGCTACTGTTTAAAACATAGGCATGCTATGCATGGAATAGTTTTTTTTTGGGGGGGGGGGTAGGTGGATTACTTGAAACATTGTAAGTGATGTCTGCATTCTCACGAAAGGAAAGAAGAGTATTAACGCGGAAAAGAAAGAAAATGTCGAATTAACTCACACACTGGACATTCATCCAGAGATAGCACCGAGCAAACCAATCCAGAAAAATATAATCGGCACAGTCAACAAATCATGAATCCTGCAACACAGCTTCCCGTTAAAGAATTGCTCAAATCAAAATGTTTGGTGCAATTCATCAACACCTCAAGCAATATTTGATTCAAAAGTTTTTCCACTAACTCTCGTCATGGAGGTTGTGATTGGTTGATTCAAACTACAACTTTGAATGTGATTGACAGCTTTCCGACAACAAACTGTCTGATAACAACTTAGCAAGTGATTTAGTGGAAAATAGGAATTTTTTAAAACAATCACAATCAAGGTAATTGTAATTTTAATGATTAAGTATATAATACTTTCATCAAATCATTAGTAGTTGTAGTTGACAGGAATCCAATATATGAGAGAGAACTATTTTTTCCCTCTGGTATTTTTTATTGATATTTATTTATTGATAATATTGACATAAAAATGTAATATGTGCCGGAATTCAAATAGAATCCATAGACGTAAAAAAAAAACGCCGTTATTTGTATTCCCTACATACGGTTAATTGCGTAACCCCGTAAGCAAGATTACGCGCTGCCATGCATTTACTTTTTTCAAGGTTCAACTTTCGCTCCACTTGCTTTTTCGTCTTTTCACAAACATATAATTGGAGCTGCCGAGCTAAGCGCGAGTTGACAACATGATTGTATGAATGGGTTAAATTTTCCTTAGTAGGAAAAAAGCAAGTACAATGCAGGAAAGATTCTACAGCGTCCAAAAGGCATGTTTCTATGTTTGTCCAGGAGCCCAGGCTAACGAAGGAGTTGCTTTCCTTCAAGAAATCCACGGTGCGTTTCCTTTTCAATGGCGAAGGACTGGACGTACATTTGGTGGACCTCTTTTTTTTTTTACATCTTTCTTGCCCGCCGTTCTTTTGCCAGACGAGTTCCCGCAGCCCTTGCATTTACATCTGTCCGCGCAGCACGAACTACCAGAAGTATAGCAAGGGCATTTGGATCGTCGTTGGTCTGGCACATCGGTGCCATCCTCCACACCCACAGCCATTGGGTGTACCATTATTGTTACGGGCGTTATTTTTGCAGTTAAAGCATCTGCATCTTTTGGAGCATTGCCGCCTTTGACGAACACATAGACAGCGCCCTATTGCATCAGGGATACAGAATCCATGCATCCTTGATTTTGCATGTCGTCCACAATGACAAATCAAACTTTAATTTGGCGGCAGCTCTTTGTTATCCTTGACCTCAGCTAAATGCATGCAAATAAGACACGACAAAAGTTTCCGTTAGAAACCCATGCTGAGCCCGTCATGGTAACTGACAAAACCAGCTAGGGACGTTATGAAAGCTAATCGTGATTTCAATTTTGCAATAAATTTACTTGCCTTATGTCAGCTCTCATATAAAGTGTGTATGTGTGTGTGTGGGTATTGACGAGGCATATATTTTATTTGAAGTTGAACGTATGATAAATAGGCAAATAGAGGGAATTATAGTGTCAAACTAAAATAATCCCGACAAATGTAGTCTGGTATATTACATTGGACTATTTCTCATAAACCGTCTATCGCAACAAACTGATATAAATTGCAAGGGAACCTAGCAAGGACGACTCAACTACCAGGATTCAATTAAAACATTTTGTCAGTCGGCTTACATACCTGAAGTACAGATTTGGTTGGTAGCGTCATAATGGCCAGCACCATAATAGTGGAAAGCGATGTATATGGGCGTGGTACTCAATGGACTATCAGGCACAAATGGAACGACAGGTGTAGAGCGACTTGAGGTAATGATGATAATCGAAACTTTAAGGACGTTACAACAGACTTTCATCACCAAGTCTCCAATTTCACGATCAAACACACCTTTTATTCTAAACTCACTAGCTCTTTCTGTAAACGTGGTTGTCGATACCGCTACGTCCTCCCCTCTAATAAATTCTTCAACAAAAAGCTGTCGTAGGGTAAATGTATCCTCGTCTTCAGAACCGACCATCAAATTTAGCGACCAACATGGTTCACTAAGTGTAGATGTGGGTCAACGGGGAAGAACATAGTTAGCCTAAGGTAGACATGGGTTAACGTGGTAGAACATAGCTAACCTAAGGTAGATGTGGGTTAATGTAGTAGAACATGGCTAACTAAGGGTAGATGTGGGTTAACGTGGTAGAACATAGCTAACCTAAGGTAGATGT